TTCTATTCATTTTGATATAAAAACACACCTTGTGGTTTTACATAAAATGATGATTATAACATTTAGATGTTTGCTTTATATCCATAAGTGGATCTCAAGCTCTACACATTTTGTTAGGATAACTTGAATTAAGAAAACCTCCAGGCTAATCTATATAGATATCTTCCAGTAGATTTCTATTAAGAAAAACGGTCTTTCTTGAAATCTATTTACTATATCTCATACTAAGAATATGAATTTATAGCAAATAATATCCTTGTTGATCTAATCATAGCTACCTGTGAAAAAGGTTTGATCACAGTCAATGTCATGAGTATGATGAGGACCATAGTCAATGACATGAGTATGAGAAAATCATTTTACTACAAGTCTTGCTTTAAATGTGTACGGTTATCCATGTAATTTATTTTTTCTAGAAGAATCATTTACTCCTTCTAGCCTTGCTATTAGGATAAATTTTAATCAAGCTCATTCTTGATTATCATACATGGATTGCATCTCATGTTCATGACTGTAAGTCATTTATCAGATTCGAGATCTGACATAGCATCTTGGTATTTGATGGATTTTCCAGAAACCATCAATAAAATCACATCAATGAGAGATTCCACATTTCTCAAGTCATAGATGAATTCTACCATTAATGCAAACAATTTTTGTTTGTGAATAACTATTATTCAATTTTAACAACCCTTGTTAAAACTAGTGCCAACTATTACTACATAAGGTTATGGTTCTTGAGCTGCTTCAAGTTCCATGTACCTCCTACTTGCTTTATCATTAGAAGCTTGCTTTCTACTAACTTAGCTTTCACAAGAATAAAAGAATTTATTCTTGGTAGGTTTGCATATGATAATCTAAGCCACATTTAGAGTATTACATACATATGTATTTTTTAGATTTTGGGTTTAGAAGCTTTACTCTAACATCGGCTTCAAATCCATAAAACATTAAGTAAGATGAGGATGGAGTCCTTCCATACTAAATCTTATAAAGTGTTTAATCTACTTATTAGTTGGTATTTGTATTCAAGATACAATTAATAGTGATTGAAGTATTATCCCAAAAAGATTAAATGAGGATATCTCTACTGATTAGAAAGTAAATCATACCAAGTAAAATTTAATTCATCCTTTATTATCATTAACGCCTTAGATGGTTCTTACCGGTTTGTATTTCAACTTTTGAAATCTTCAACAAAGATTTCATAATTATGCTTTACTACGTAAAATATAATTACAACTACTATAGTTGTTAATAAAGTTGATTTGATATCTTGTGCTTAATCTCAGACATTCATTAGAAAGGAAGTTATACACCAAAGTGTATAGTTCCTTAATTATTTTTCTCTACACCTTAGTGAAAATATCATTAGGAATCCTTTACATATAAATAAGGTTCACATATGTCAAATAAACTACATTATTTTCCTTCAAAGATCCCTTTTTTCTTATAAACCTTTTTGGAAAACTTATTTTCTTTTAAAAGATTTTATTAACTCCCTAGTTTGAGTTCAAACACACCCGAGAGTGTGCGTGAATCCCTCAAAATAAGGCTCTGGTACCAACTTGTAACGTCCCAAAAATTTCAAGTAAAATTTTTCATTTTAATTAAGTCAAAACCATTCATTCATTATACCAAAAGAAGATCAGAGTAAAAGTAATCTCAAAACATTAGAGTAAATCATTGCGAAATAAATCTTCATGAGATGTAGTGCGATCAAGCAGGGCCCTTCCTTTTGAAACTGGAAGTACTTGAAAATGTTTAAACCACAAAACCATAAGCACAAAGCTTAGTAAGTTCCCCAAAATACTACATACAACATATATGTGTATAACAACACGTAGCTATGTCGGGTCCGTAACAACCCCCAGGTCCATATCAACCATGAGTCCATAATGACTCTAAATAACAACACGTAGCTGTGTCGGGTCCGTATTAACCCCCATGGCCATATCAACCCCGAGTCCATAATGAATCTATATAACAACACGTAGCTGTGACGGGTCCATATCAACCCTACATATATAAAACATACAGTCATATTAGAAAGAGTTATAAAGACAACAAGAGCATACAGACATATCAACAAGTATAACAAAGGAAAATATCATCCTACAAACATAATCCAATGGGCCGACATTAGTGCCTTTAACCCACGAGTACAGTGAAAAGACTCACTTGAACTACTCAACAAAAGCCAAATAGCTACCTCAACATCAGAAAAGCCAACCTAAGCTTCCTAAAGCCAAACCGAAACTAATCCCTTAGTCAAATACTCAATTCTACCCAAGTTTGACCAAAAGTCAAACTGGTCAAAGAAGTCAAACGGTCAAAGCTAAGGTCAAAATTGCCAATAGCATCCCTCCACGTCGTAACATTCCTTGGCCACGTCGTGGGCACTAAATGCCAAAATAGTCGCTGATTCCCCAGTCGTCACACCATGGCAGCCAAAGGCCATGCTGTGGGAACTGGTCTGAACAACTCAAACGAGCTTAATCCATTTTCTTTCGATTTCTAGAGCTCCAAAGCTCAGATATGATTCTTTCCAAGGTCTTAATGGATAAAGTTTCTAACTTTATCCATTAGGAAGGTCCAAACCACCAAGATCTAGACTTTAAGTCTCAAAGGGGCATAAAAATGCATCTTTCTCTACTTAATCCATTAGTCTAAGTCTCCAACTTCCAGATCTGAATCAACAAGATGTCTAAATAGATAAAGTTCCCAACTTTATCTATAATAATGCCACAATCTTTCAAGATTTAAAATTTAATACACCAAAATAGCCTAAAGGACCAAGATAACTTACATGGCTAAAAAAGAACGAAAAATATCATAACTTTCCTAGTCCATGGGGTCCAAGAAACATTACAAACTTATCAAAATATGTTGGAGTCCACTCAACTCCAAGATCACTTACAAAATGGACCAAAATTGCCAAAACCCCCCCAAATGATAAGATCTAATGAACTAGATAGCAAGACTGGAACTTTATACTTACAATAGTCCAGAAATGTGGTGCCTTCTGTGGATCCCAACTTGAAGTATCATTACTTGCAACCAAAAGAACCTTCTTGATCTTTAAGCTCCATCAAAATAACATAAAAAACATCCAAAAGAGGAGGGAGGAGAGAGAAGAAACTCAAATTTTGAAGGTGGATGCTAGGGTTTCTCCCAAAGGGTTTTAGAGGTGATGGAGGCTGATAAAGTACCAAAAAAAATGTGGAACATTAAGCTTAAATACGTTGAAAACCCTAAAAATTATGGACTTGGGCCTGACTGATCACCACGCCGTGGGCTATGACCCTCACGCCGTGGCCACAACTTTTCACCCAATTCCATTCCAGCTTCAAACCACCATAACTTGTTCGTTTCAACTCCGTGAATGTCCTTCCCCAAACTAGGTCAACATATGAGAAAAATGGACCTAAAGCTCATACATGATTATCAAAACTACAACGAATCCTAGATCTCGAAGATATATTGTCCAACGGAGTATGTAAATCCATAAAGTTGTAAGATTTATCTCTTCTAACAATTCAAAATCCACTTATGAGGATAATCATGACACTAAACCTTGATCTAAGAAGAGAACCTCAAAAAGTTGAAAGCTTCAGGACTACAATGAGTCTAAAAGATGCACAATGATGAAGATGGATTATTTGATGGATCAATGGACCAAACTCTTTTCTTCTTCTTCCTTCAAGAACACCAAAACTAGCAAAATGAGCTCCAAAAGATTCAAGGAGGCTAGGATTTGCTCAATGGTATATTTAGGAGGTGATGAAGGCTCAGGGTGGAGGAAACCCTATCCATCACTTCCTTTAAATAGGACCTAAGCTCAGAAAATTAGGGTTTGCCTATGCTTAGATGCCACGTCATGACCAATATAGTGTCACGTCGTGACATCTAAATGAGATGCGCGACTCATGCGGGCCATGCCACGTCGTGGCCACCAAAAACTCAAAGATTACTTTTAAAAAATTCATAACTCAAAGATTCAGATGTTACACATATGTGGGTCAGTTTCTCGGTTATGATGGGTCGATTTTTAAGTAAAAATCAAAACCGAAACAAATGTTTTGGTTTTTAAAAATTTCAAACCCTAACCGTCAATTTTGGTTCGGTTTTGATTTTTTCGGTTTCGGTTTCATTGGTTGTGGTCGGTTTCTTGGTTTGATTTTGCTCATCCCTAATTTTTATATCCATGTGTTTGTATTTGAGTCTACTACAACTTTCGTTGATATTACTCCCATTAAAAAGCAATATATTTTTACTTATGGTCTTTATATACATACGTTCTTTATAAATGTATGTATAAACATTTTTTTTTTATAAAATTGTAAGTAAAAATATATTACTTTTTAACGGAAGTAATCTAAACGAAAATTTTAGTACTCAAATACGAACGTGTAGATATAAAGATTGTTAAAATTCGAGATCATATGAAGAAGTTATGACGTTCAGAACACAAGACCTAAGCAAATCCACAAGACCTAAGCAACCAAACAGCCAAGACCACAGTGACCATAAACATCAACAGCCCTGAACACATCATTAATGATTGTCTCACATAGGATAACGTGAGAAAAACTTAAAAAACTGGTCAATAGTACTGAATATGTACTTGACTAAATGTATAAAAAGTGAAAAATATATATTACCCTATTAAGTAATTTTTTCGGCTTATCTGGGGTAGCAGGTAATAAGAACTGAATATGTACAATTAAAAAAGTTGAAGGACCAAATATATACAAATCAAAAAATATATTATTATTTTAAATCATTATTCATTTATAGTATTTACAGAAAGTGTATATTTTTTGTTATTATCTTTTAAAATAACGGTCTAACCATATAATTTAAAGATTTCCGTTGGTAAATTGACAAACTCCACAAGTATCGACTATGTATTACGAACATCTAGAAGTTTAAGGACTAAAACTAAAGTTTATCAAAACATATATTATATATACAAGCGGGAGAGAAATTTTCTTTTCGAGGGAGAGATGTCGCTGGTGGATTACGCTTCTTCGGATGAAGAAGATGAAGCAGTTGGTAGAGAAGAAGGGCGCAACAATGATAATCTTGTAATTTCACACGCCAACCCGTCCCATGAGAAAAGTCATCCTCCCAATGAGTAAGTTCTTTATTCTCTTTCCAATTTGATCGAAAAAGGGTATAAATTTAGGGTTCTAAGTTTCGCGATGGTGAATTAAGTTCTTTATTTTGATTTGAAAAAATCTTTTATGAATTTAACTTTATGAATAATGAAACCCCCTGTTCAGTTTAAGTATCATTGTTTTTTCTTGTAAAGTCTCCCAATGTATTGCCAGCTGATTTCAGTTTATTGAGATATCATAGTTAGTTATCGTCTGAAATTTGCTACTTGTCCGATAAATAGTAGATATACATGTTTTCTTTTTCTTAGTCACCAATAGCATCTTTCCATTTATATGTCATTGTGTTCATTTTCATTAGACCTATAAGGAAACTCAAAAAATTCTCAATCCACAAACAAAAGTTCTAGGGTTTCAAAATAACCCCTTTTCACAATCGAGGTGTAGGCTCTTATTTGGGGCAGATGTATATTTTCTTGATTTAATCCTCACTCTTTAGTGCTAGTGATGCATCTTCAGGTTGTGTTCACGAAGATTATTGCTATAATTCGTGTCAGGATTTAAAATTTTTTTGTTTGTTTTGACTGAAGAGGATGTATTTGTTAGAAATTGCAGAATTCGTTGTGTTTTTGTGTGCATTAAGTATGTTTTTGAACAAATAAGTTAAGAACTCAATAAAATTAAATAGAACATTTGTAAAATGTATTTAATAAAAGTACGTTGCTATTTTTGACATGTGTAGGAAATCTACAAAGTTACCTGTTCAACAACAACCAGAGCCTTTTAAACTACCTGATGCATCATTTCTTTTGAATTCGCCTTCATTGCCTTCAAATATGAGTGGAAATTATGATCATAGTTCACGAGTTGCAGCTGCCATTGCTCAAAATGCATCACGAAAAAGGGATACTCAAGAACCCACAACTTCTAATCCTCGTGGAAAAATTCCAAGAGGGAATTTGCCACATTCCAAAAATGTCCCTGAGACAGCACGTGGTCTTCTTCATCCACCTCAGCTTAGCGGAAGGTGAGTTTCTATGCTTTTTTATTTATTTAAAATAGATATTTCTTGTTAAATATTGTTTATTAGATTGTATTTGTTTACATTCTGTGTTTGGCATGCATTGGACTGTGATTGATGTCAATAGGACAAAAATTGCAACCTTTTGTCCCGCCCAAAAAGGTGGAACCAGGTGGGGCATTGACTCACTCTTGATCTCTCGTCTGTTCAAAAAGACGAAAATGCCCTCCTCATCATTGTCATCGAAAATAGCCCTAAAAAGCTTGTTCAGTCCAGTCCAGTCCCGTGTAAAGAACGCAGCCTTAAGGCTGCGTTTACTACACGAGACGGGAATGGACTGGACAAGCTTTTTAGGACTATTTTCGATGACGACGATGAGGAGGGCATTTTCGTCTTTTTGAACAGACGAGAGATCAAGAGCGAGTCCCTGCCTCACCCAGTTCCACTTTTTCGGGCGGTACAAAAAGTTGCAATTTTTGTCCTATTGACATCTGTATCAGTCTAATGCATATGACAAAAGCAGTTGTTTTCTCTTTCATCTTTTATTTTTTACTTTTAAGCTACATATTTTGGTTTGATGATTAAAATGGGGATTTTGTAGGAGCAATGTGGTCACAGAAGATATAAACAAGTTATTTACAAGAAGAAATGGTTCCGAACCCTCGTCTAGCACACCTACAACTGAATGATGGCTATTTATTTTCTTGTAACTTGTAAAATATGCAAGGATTTTATAAAATGTTGGTAGAGATTTCAAGTAGACAGTTGTATTTTGCAATTTGGAATGCTTAGAAATTAGCAAATGATTTTTTTACGATTATGATAGAGATTGGCAGAAGGTTTTATGAATTATACTTTGTGTTCATAAAAATATAACCTGACAAATTAACAAACACAAACATAGACTTTTGTGTCCGTGTTAGATTCTTATGCAAATAAGTTTATTCATGAACAAGTACACGAGCAATGTTTGTGATCGGATAAGTGAGTCATGAAGAGAAGTAATGAGCTGAGTATTAGGTCAATCAAAACATTTTTAATTACCATTCATAGTCACAAATTTCAATTTTAAACAAGTTCAATGATATGATAAAAATAAATAATTCAACAACTAATGTTACATCATTTTTTATCTTGACATTTTATTCTGGGGTTTGCCACTATCCTCAATTTGGTGATTTTGGAACCTTTTTACATCTCGTCTAATTATTTGTTAGATTAGTGCCATTTTGTTTGTTTGGATTGTTTTAGACATTGTTATGTTCGTATTTCCATATTCTATTTACTATTTACACCGTTTAAGTGGTTGTGTTAACCCTAAATATGGACCAAGGGTGTGGGCCAAAACCAAACCATTAAAAGTTGTGGAAAAACATCTAAAATACGTAACATTATTTAAATCATTGTTTTAATATAGATATAGATAATCTCTATACGAACTAGAAAAGTGTCCCCTGCAAAGTCGGAAGCCTTCAATGTCGTTTTTCCGGGATCAATGTTTACAATTTGTTATAAAGTACCTAAAGAAAAAGTATGACAACAGCCCATCAGTGTTGCTGGATTATGTAATTTCATGAAACAATCAGTAAAAATCAGAAGACTTCCTAATGTCTATGTTCTCTCCTTTCAAGAAAACTCATAATATGACATTTTTGTGCCAACTTTTGAAGCTCCTGCATCCAAATTAAGGCCAACTCAAATGTGTTTAATCGTGTTAGAATGAAATATCAAATTTTCAAGTGAAATGTTTACTATTTAACCGAGTGAGACATTATTTACAGATAATCCCAAAATGTTAATTGATTTTTTAATCATATCAACTCCAAGCCAAATCTCCAAGATTACTCTAAAAGTACCTATAAATACAAAGCGGAAACATAGAAGATCGTTAATCACAAAACCAAATGAAAACTCAAAAACCTGATGTACTAAAAACATTGGAACACACCTCTAAGATTTTGAGCTTCCTTGATTACATTAAGAGCAAGTGTTCTCTTGCTTGATCCCTGTTGCCCATAAACCTCAGGAATTTTTCCTTGTAATGTAGACTTTGGTTGTTATCTAGGGTCCATAATGATTAAGTATATGTGTAATTTGCTAATACCATATAAGAAGGTAGTAATTTCGTTTGGTAATACCTTGTACATGAGTTCCAAGAAACATCTTCTCTCCTCTCCCCCAAACCCATCTTCATGATCAAACTTTGTAAATTTAGAACAAACTTCCGACCACCATATAATCAAAGAATCAAGAAACACGAACATACAGAATAATTGTGATTGAATTTAATACCTTTTGTTCAATGATGGTGTTCTTGTTCCTGATGTAGATGCTTCATTTTTCTGTGTAAAAAAATAAATAAAAGATAATAATGTCATTTAGGAAAATAATGAAAATCCTTGCTTTTTTTTTTTTTGTGTCAAGCATATTTAGTTGGGTTTCTTTTTTACCTCTGACCTACAAAAAAAAAATTCATTTTCTACAAAAAAAGTGTTCATTATCACTTTGTAAAAAAAAGGTGGGTCCGAATTTGTAAAAAAAAAAAAACTTGGGCCAAAACTGTAAAAATGAAAACTTGGGTAATAACGTGTTTAAAATTTTGTATGAACTGAAATTTGTTTGTTGGCCATAAGTAATGGTAACCCTAAACATAAAAGCAGAAGAAGTGCTTTTAACATTTTACAGATTTAGCCATTGACTAGTTATTTCTTTATAATTATTATAAGAATAGTGTAGTGGCTAAATCAATTAAAAATAATAGTTTTAGAGCTAAAATCGGTATAATAGCAAAACCACATTAAATTTGGAGATCATAATATATACCTTGGAGCTAAAGAGGGTTTCATAAGATATAAATATGCAGATTAAGTATGCTTCAAGACATAGTACTTTCCATTATATTCGGATGATCTTGATAAGTACATAACAGCCATAACCAAAGGAATAATAATGCAAATCCCAACAATTCCAAGTAAATTCACCGCCCCTGATGTCCCATCAATATTCAATAGAAACTTAAGTGTTGTTTGGTTCGCAGAATGTTGCTGAAAGAATTTGAATTGGAATTGGAAAAAAAATATGTCAGAAATTTGAATCCAATTCCATATGCTGTTTGGTTGGCAGGAAATTGAATTGGAATTAATTCTAGATTCCGTTTGGTTTAGAGGAAATGGAATTGGAATTTAGTTAAAATGACAAAATTGTCCTTTTTTATTACCCTGTTAAAAATTATGTTTTTTTTGTGTTTATACTTTTTTTTGTCATTACTTGCCAATTAACATTTCATATATACATATCTAGATATCTAAAAATCCTTGTTCTTTTACACATGTAAGTCTAGTTTCGAGACTTCACAAATTTTTTTTGTCTTTAGCATAAAACAATCAAGCAGCTTCAACGAATTAATCCATGAAATTGCAATCCAAATAGCATTAAACAAACCATCATGAGTATTATGTCTCCAATAACATTAAAGTAACACAATTTTCCATTTTAACATCTATCTTTCTATCATTATATCTAATCTCCATGAAAATATTATGAAGTAATTGTCTTTCAATTTAATACAAATAAACCATTGAACTCCCATCCTTTGAATGTTCATAACAACCCATAACACCAATGTTTTCTTCCACAATGTTGAAATATTGATGATACATAGGATCTAGGCAATACTTAAGCTATAACTGCAAATCATAAATGATGATGAGGATCGACATATTGACTTACCAGAAGATATAAAATAGATTCAATCAAAAAACATATATGTCAAAAAAAAAAAAGTTCAAAAGAAAAAACATGTTGTGTGTGTTATGGTACGTCTCTTTCCAGCAAGTAAATCTAAAACATCACAATCAATTTTGACAGATGTTGCTGTGAATACAAAATAAATAAGTTCCATCAGGTACAAACCATCATGTTTTCTGTTTTACATGATCCAAATCGAGATTTCTCAAGAAATTAAGAGGGGTATAAAGAAAAGAGAATGAGAATGAGAGACAGCGAGATCGAGATTAAGAAAGAGATCGATAGCAAGACTTACCTGGCAGAAGACGAGATGGAGAAGACGAGTGTTGTGTTGATGTCGGCTGCAATATGATTTTGACATAGAGACAGAGAATATGTGAGATAGGGTTAGAATGGTTTTGTGAAATTAAAAGGGTATAATTGTACTCTTTCACTTCCTAGATGGTATGGAATTAATTCCCTCCTTTCTTTGAAGGAAAGTATTTTCCTCCTTTTGATGGAATGTTTGCTCATTTAGGAATCCTTTTCCTTTCCTTAATGTTGAACCAAACGCCGGAATCCAAAGGAATTGGATTCCTTTTCCCCCAAATTCCATTCAATTCCGACGAACCAAAAACACTCTTAGGGAAAACAATTCCCATTTTGTAGCCCCTGTTTTTTCACAAATTTACTCAAATCAATTCAAGAAATTAATGGACTTTGATTTGTGTAATCAACGTATTCGAAGAAATGGATAATGTGATCTCAAGGAACCGTAAAAATTTAATAACTTTTAGCTTTTCACTTATAAGTTACAAGGGTAATTTGGTCTTTTAAGAACAAATGGTATGCCATCAGGATGACCATATTTTTCAAAATTCTCACGTGATATTGGATCGGTTAGAGCTTGATAAGCCTTGGATATATATTCCAGAAAATAATTATGTGCCTCTGAAAAAGAAAATAAAAAATTATCACTAATAGACTTAAAGGGTTAGAAATTTAGAACCTAAACAGCTTGATAAAATAATTTATCCACCCTCTCAAGTCTCAGGGAATGGTGAAATCCACCACAGTAGCATGTCAATGGAGCACTTTTTTTTCTTTGTAAATCATAATCTTCATGACAGAAAATTGAAACAAATGCAACTCACCGTAAGACAAACACACTCTTCAATACCTTTTAAGCTTTGAAGCTTGTTCTGCTTAACTGATAACCACTTCAGGTTCACACATTGCTTCAGACCCATAGTTTATCAATCACATGAAAAACACATTACTTGATGTTTATCATTCCTATATAAACAAAAGGCAATACAAAAATCAAAAAGAATTAAATACCATAGGTATGATATTTGAACATGATCAAGTTTAAATATCATAACTTCTGCTCTCTTCAACCAACGTCTTCTTAAGAGATGTTGATGACCAATGGAACACATAGATGACATACAGAGGGAGGTGGAACTGTCCATAAGCCATCATTGTTACATCTGGTTTTGGTATCATATCTTAGATCGATTTTTTATAGGAAAGTTTTGTGAGACGATAAGGCCCCTGAATACAAAACTTTTATCAAACACCTGGTGGGCAAATGTTTGAACATGTAATCAAAGTTACCATACCATTCCAAATTGTTCCAATACCTGGTATCCCTCCATGAACAAACTCCAATCCTAAAATTTGTGAGATTCAAATGAGAACTACCAATGTTTACAAACATATCCTCATGGAAAGGTAGAGAAAGGTGAAAAAAACGGGGATGATACCTTAATCGTTACAGCTGAAGCTAATTGGAATTGAACACGTGGGTGGGTAATGCTTGTACTTCCGATGGAGATTACACACATATAGTTAAACACACAAACAGATGAGGAAGAACTTCGATTCAACGATTCAATCGATCGATGGCTTGAAAAAATAGAGCAATAATTGGAAGGGAAAGAAGTTAATCGAGTAGAGTAGTCGCACCCAACAATCAGGACGGAAGTAGAGCGGGTACCTGGTTCTTCTCCACCTGTGTCAACATCACAGGTTTGAACCGGGATCAGAACAAATAGAAAGAGAAAAAAATCGGTGGGAACAGCAAGTGGAAATGGAATAATGGTTGTGGGGGATTGAGATACTGAAGGGGTATACGTGTGCCTTCAGCTTACCAAATCGGTGTTCCACACCGGTTTCGTCTGTTTTTTTATTCGAAGCCGGCATCACTAATTTCCGATCACCCTATATTGGAGCAATCCGGAGGGAAAGCATTGGGAAAACGGAGTAGATAGAAAAACGATCAGATGAAAATCGGAATAAGAAGGGAGGAGGTGGAATATTGGAAGATAAATAGGCAACGTTTGATTGGAAGATGAGGCGGTGAGTCGATGGGAGGAGCACAGCGTGTCCAAAATGGGAAAATCCATAGCAGAGGAAACGAACACGTGGGCACGCATTGAGTTGGGAAGAGACCAAGGACTAACATGAAAGACGACCCACATACACACAATTGGAAGGGTAATAGTTTCAAGGAACGGAAAATATAGTCAATGCCAAAAATATAACAGTATGGAAGCAAATAGACCGAATTGTCAATTTGGAATAAACCAAGGACGATTTTTGCCAAAAAAAAAACCATTAAATTCACTGTAGCTAAGGTAGGAGAAATTTAATATATACTAGAAAAGATTCCCCAGCGTTGCCGGGTCGGAAGGTATTGCTTTGTAAAGTAAAGTAGCATGTTGGTTGCTTTTTGTCCGTTAATGTAAGGGTAATTTGGTCTTTTCAGGTAGTAGGGACTGAATTTGTCATCATGGGTAAACCATATGGACCATTTATGTAATTTTGGCGGTGGTGGTGGTGGTGGCAGATGGTGGGTGGGTTTATGGTATTGAGTGGATATTTTCTAATAAATAAAACATTAATTTAAAACCAAAAAGAGAATGTTAAATCTGGTAAACCATAGGGACCAATCGTGTAATTTTGTCTAACAATAATAATATTAATGATGAGGGACCATTTCTGCCAAAAGACTAAATACTAATAATATGTAATAAAATGCGAGGGTTATGAAAAATTCAAACCAAAGTGAAAGGGTTGTTTGTGAACAAAAACATAAAAATGAAGGGTCAATGTTGTAAAGTTGCCACCGTTAAAATCTTTCATAATTTTAATATATATATAATAATATATAATCTCTTCCTCTAAAAAACATAACATCATTTAAATAATTACTTTTTTGAGAAATCATGTACTAAAAGTGTCATGATTTTCCAACCCGTTATATAAATGTAAAAAAACAAAATACTCATAAAATACCACAAAAAATAAGTAACAAACAAATATAGTTTTGTTTATCTCAAATTCAAAATTCGAAACCGCACCATCTATTCTACCCTCCCTCAAAAAACAATAGTTCCAAGGTTTTAAAAATCAAACCTCACAAAGAATATAAATAAATAAACAAATAAATAAATAAATAAAACATCAATCTCAAGCCATATCCGGACCCCTGGCAAGCGGCTCATAGCCATCATGTTGCTTGACACCATGGCTCGTAGATGAGTCAACCGGGATGCACTTCAAGATGGCTCCAACTGGCATACTAAGTGAACCCAAAAGAACACTAGCAAACCATAAGTCCCAAGATAATGGAACTGTGGATGCAAATGTACCTAATAATTCAACTATTATGATTTGGAATGTCACAGTGCATATCATCACTAACATGAACACCCAACTATCAAACATTCCACGTAACACGTTTATTTTCTCCATGTCACGGCTGTTTATTTCGTTAAATACCTGTAAAATGATAGAAATTTATCATTAGGTGTTTGGTTAGCAGAATGTTTTTGGAAGGAATGAAATCTGTCAAAAGAATTCGAATGGCTGTTAAACGTTTGGTTTGAAGGAAACATATTCGAATGGTAAAAATTGTGATTTTTTAGTATCGAATCATTTTTCCACTCCTACTATATGGTAAAAACATCATATCAAAGAACATATCTTCGATATGTTACATAAGGCTTTCTCATTTCATTTCTTCTTATAGGATTGTACTTTATAGTCATAGAACACAATTACAAATTACCTGGCAGAAAACGAAGGTATTAAAGATCAATGTATTGAGAATAGCAGTAGAATCCGGACCATTGATTTTAAGAACACGTTTTCCATCAAATTGAAGAAGGCCAAGAATCACAAGTTGATAAACACTTTGACCAACGATATTCCGCCACATAACCTTTGTTATAAAGTTGACTTCACGCCCAATTGGAGGTCTTTGCATTAACCCATCATGAGGAGGTTCTGTTGCCAAAGCTAAAGCACCTAATGTGTCCATTATCATGTTCACCCAAAGCAATTGGACAGCAGTAAGAGGAGCAGATCCTGAAATTTTACTTCAACATTAGTTAAAAATTAAAATCCTGAAATTTTACTATAGGTGAAACAAATTAGAAGATAAGGGACCTAAAGTGAAAAATCAGAATAGTTGGTTTAAGTTTATGACATTAACCCTAAATAAAATGTTGAAAAGAGGGAAGGAACCTGATGTGCATGCAGAAACAAAATTGGTCATGAGTGCAACCACATTAACTGTCAACTGAAATTGCACAAACTTTTGGATATTTATATAAACCGAACGACCCCATCTAGCAACATACACGATTGTCTTGAAATTGTCATCCATAATCACAACATCTGCGTTTTCTTTCGCAACCTATGAAAACACAAAAAACATCATTCGCATCTTATACTGTTTCTACAAAATTATTATTCTTCCGGGGCAAAACGGCTGACACAAAAACAATAAAATATCAGCAACTTCTTGCGCTGACTTGTTTTTGTGTCAGCCATTTCTTGAGCTGGCCCATTGTGGGCCAGCTCAAGAAAAAAAGTTACGAATATAGTAACGAACCTCGGTTCCGGCTATACCCATGGCCAGACCGATATCGGCTTCATGTAAAGCTGGGGCATCATTAGTCCCGTCACCCGTAACCGCCACAACTTCCTTAAATTCATTTCTCAAAAGGGTAACCAACTTATGTTTATCCAAAGGTAAAGATCTTGCCATCACTTGAAGCCTAGGAATTATATCTTTCAATTGGTCAACGCTTTTTTCCCTAAAAACCGGTCCTTCAATAGCCAAACCATCCGCAGTCAAAATCCCACATTCTCTAGCAATCGCTTTTGCAGTATTGATATTATCTCCGGTCACCATCCTCACAATTATTCCGGCGTCCAAACATGTCTTCACCGCCTCTTTCACCCCTGGCCTCACCGGATCTTTAATTCCGACCACTGCAATTATCGTGTAATTAGTCTCCGGAATGTTATCGGAGCTTGACCCAGTGTCTAAATCCCTAAAAGCTAAACAAATCGTTCTTAGGGCGTCACATGCGAAACCATTTATCACATCTGTAATCGCTTTTCGTTGTTTGTCGGATATCTCCATGATTTCTCCATCGTCGGTGATGATTTTATCGCATAAACTTAATATAATCTCCGACGCGCCTTTGCAGAAAGCTCGTAACTTACCTCCGGGAAGAGCGACGAGCACCGACATCTTTTTCTTGACGGAATTAAACGGTTCGACTTTGATGATCTTCACGTTTTTCGATTCGGCGGTGTAATTACTCTGAAAAAGTAGTCCGAATTCCAATAAAGCAGTTTCCGTCGGAGAACCGATGATGTTCGTCTTCCCCGATTCGTCTTTTACGATCTCTGAGTTCGTGTTCAAGAAGACGGATTGTAAAAGAACAGTTAAAACTTTCTCTGAGATCGACGATTTGAGTTTTTCTTTACTTCTGATGTCTTTATTTTCTCCGGCAGCCCATAGACGGGTGACAACCATATGATTTGTGGTTAAAGTTCCGGTTTTGTCCGTACAGATACAGGTGGCGGATCCCATTGTTTCGCAAGCAGAAAGATGCCTCACGAGTGCTCGATCGTTCATCAGTTTCTTCATCGCGAAAGCTAAACTTAACGTCACCGCTAATGGCAGCCCTTCCGGGACGGCGACCACCAGTATGGTGACGGCGATGGCGAAATAGTTCAGAAGCTCCAAACCGTCGCTCATGTACCATATCCCCATTTCGTCATTGAGGAATTTCATGATTACAAACCTCGCTGTGAGGACGAGAAAAGTTAAAATTGCAAACGCTAACCCGATTTTTCCGATGATGGTGGCGACGCCGTTGAGTTTCACCTGTAATGGGGTTTCATCGTCGCCACCTTCGCTTAATGTCACCATTAATCTTCCCCATTCGGTTTTCATTCCGACGGAAGTCACCAGCATTTTGCCGGAGCCATCTTGAACTTTAGTTCCCGATAGCAGAAACGGTCGTTTCTTGTCGATGTTCACCGGTTCACTTTCGCCGGATAAACTCGATTCATCAATCGATAAGCTGTACCCATCGATGAAAATCCCATCCGCCGGAACTTGATCGCCGATTGACAAATGAACAATATCTCCGACCACCAAATCGTAAATCGAAACCTTTTTCCTACTCCCATCTCTCGTCACTTGAATAATTATATTCTTCTTTTCCTTATCCAGATCTTTGAATTGCAATGACTGTTTGTAATCACTCACTGCTGTAACCACAACCACCAACGCTATACACAGAATAATCCCTAACCCGTCGTACATCCCCTTCGGCCACCCTTCTGTAGCAATTCCGACGCCGACGGAAATCACAGCACACACCATGAGGATGATTAACGTCAAATCCTGTAACGCGTCCCATACGAACATCCATAAAGCTCTAGGGGGCTTTTCGACGAAGCGATTAAACCCGAAAATTTGTTGGCGTTTGGAGATATCGGATGAAAGGACGCCATCACGAAGTGAGACTTTGATTTTTCTTGCGAGACCTTGAAGTCCGCCATGGAAATCGTAAGTTTTGTTGTTGTGGGAGCGGACGATGTAGGCAAGATCGTCGGGTTCGATGTCGTAACCGGCTTGAGCGACTTCTTCAGAGACCTTATGTTCGGTTCTGTTAGCAGCTGTACTAATCAAAGAAGAAACTTGAGAATTAGAGAAATAGCGTGGAATGAAATTGAAAAATATATGGAATTGTATTTAGTAATAGAGATTATACTTCGACAATTTTATGGATTATAGGAACAACAAGAGAGCTTATCTATATAGAATTGATAAAATTAAAATGATAAGAATGTTGTATATATCTATAGAGTTCGTAAATTAACAAGCATAACCATAAAGAAAAAAAAAAAAAACTAAAAAATCCTCCACTCTAATAAATGAAATTTTTTTAATTTTTTTTTTTTTTTTTTTTTTTTTTTTTTGCCACTTGTTAAGTTTTGCTAATTTTATGGTTTTTTTTAATAAATTAATTCCACATGTTATTTTGTGGTCGCTTTGTATTAAATGAGATTAATTAATTAATTAATGTATTTTTTCAATTGATTGTGTCATCCCAAATTTTAAGCTAATTGTATATACTTTCCAAAATAATATTACCATGTTTCTTATATGGTATTAGAACTTACCATATAATTACAAAACTTACACAAATTTCTTAAAATTGATTGGATGTTTCAAAGTCAAACTTTAACTTAAATCAAGTTAATTTATATGGATCAAAAGTCATTTGAAGTTTAAGTACAACCTCTTAAATAGTTTTAATAACAAAAAAATAAATTACAATCCGAAACAAAACGAAAGTGACTCTATAATTGATAAATTCAATGTAATTTATTATAATCAATTTTGATTTAATACCATTTTTAGCAATTAAATTTTCATTTTAATCAACCCGTATATTACACGGGTTTCACACCTAGTCTCTAATAAACTACAAATTAATAAAAAATATGTTGTTATTTTTTAGACTTAACCCAAGTTTTTAAGTGCTAAATAGAAGAAATAGAAACTTACTTTTGATTTGTTTTGAAATAATCTAATTTATTTATTTCATATTAAAAGGATTATTCTAAAAAATCTAGTAGAAAACAATATTCATAATTATAAATAGATATAATATTTTTTCAAAATATAATGTTTTAAAACCAAAAAATTGAAAAATATAATGCTATTTATAGATAGATTTTTTTAAAATATATTGTCTGAAGAAGAAAAAAAAAAAGAATTGAAAGTAGGATCTGTTAAACTTGAAATGTATATGAATTTGAATTTTGTATTATAATGTCTTAAACGAAAAGAAATAACAATATACTTTAAGTAAGAGTAAATTACACGAATAGTCCCTATGGTTTAGGATAATTTGTGCGTTTGGTCCCTAACTTATTTTTTTAACTCGGAAGGTTCCTATTGTTTGTTTTTGTTACGCGCTTGGTCCCTGTCTTGCCTAAAAAAGATTACTTTTGCCCTTGATTTTTTGATTTATTTAAATAAACACACCCCCTCACCTTACCTTACCTACCCCACCATTGTTTTTCTATTTAAATAATAGTTTTTTTAGGTAAGATAGAGACCAAACATGTAACAAAAACAAACAGTAGGGACCAAACACTTAACAAAAACAAATAGTAGGGACCTTCCGAGTTAAAAAAATAAGAGGGACCAAACGCACAAATTACCTCAAACCATAGGGACCATTCGTGTAATTGTACTTTATAGCACCATGCTTCCATTTTCTTACAATTTAAACATTTTACCATAATAATCCACCTAATTATAACCGTATGATTGGATCTTCTAAAATACAATTTCTAATAAAAATATTGAAACTATAATGCTATATATTGCTTGATTTCTAAAACAAAATGTTTTTTTTTAAGAAAAAGAATATATAAGTACAAAACTATAAATAGAAACAAATGAAAGTAGAAAGCTATAATAATACACATATAAAAGAAAGTTTGTTAGATATTTCTTTCAATTTACCCTACTTACTATATCAATAACTTTTTAGACATACCATCAATGAACTGCAATGCTGCTTTCTGCACATACAAAGCTATCCGGATCTTCTCCTGATGTAAAGAATTAACAAACTCCATTAGAGTATAGAAATGAAGAATATATGAGATATATTCAATGGATTGCAAATTTCTAAATATTGAAAAGCCTCCATATGCATATATTTCAACCCGATGGCTTGTAGAACCATTTACTTAGTCAACATACATAAAGAATCAATGAATGCCAATAAAGACAGTCTAACCTCACAGTGACATTTTATTTATCACTTGGCATGTGATATAGTAATTCAAACATACAAAAACACACCTCACTTTCAACACCAAGAAATCATTGCACATGGAAATTCCCATGAAAATATATCACTTGGATTTCAAGAAAACACAAAGAGTGTATGCGTATCAGCGTATGGTTTTGGTAAGACTTTGTTGTCTGAATTAAAATATATCACTCTTGTAGTTTGTGAGAATTTTCAAAGAAGTTCCTTAAATATGCGTGTGTTTTTGGTTTCAACTTTCCCGTAATGTCAAAGAGAATTATTAAAAACCATGAATACTTTTCAAACATATATAATTTTATATTAATATTAATTTATTAATTTTTTGTTCTATACATCGAATATATGATGAGAAAAATAAAGTCGTTATTATTATTATTTTTTTTTGTTATGTACATTGAATATAAGATGAGAAAAATAAAGTCATACAACATATCCACTCAAATAAATAAAAGTTTTTTTTGTCACATGATATCTTCTCATTCAGTTTGACAAATGTCATTTTGAATTAATTTTTTTTCCACGTGTCATTTTATGAGTTTTTTCAATTTTATTAAATTCAACATAATATTTTAATGTAATAATTACAATAAATTTAGTAATAAATGGATATCAGTTTCATTAATAAACATATATTTTAATTTCAAAATTTCCAAATTAATCTCATTAGTTTCTTTTGTGTATTTATTTAAATTATTTGTTTAAATTTAAAAGATAAAAAACGTTTCAATTATAATAATTTTTTTTTTGTTTCTTATAAATTCAAAGTTGTCAAATATTTTGATCTTTATATTTAATTTTTTTTTTAAAATTAATGTAATACACGTTTTCACAATTAGTTTTTAGAATAAATTACAGAAATGGTCTCTAGTTTACTGAATTTTGCACTTGGAGTCCAACCATTAAAAATCAGTCACGAACTGCCCCTATGGTTTATTTTCCTGCAATTTTCGTCCCAGTTAAATCTTACAATTCAGCACATAGTTTTTTAAATATGACCATTTACCTTGGATGAAACTAACCAAAAAATAGATTTGACATTTGTGGTTAGCATGTACAAACATGTGATCTACGACATTCCGTCATATCCGAATCTAGATATAGTACGATGATTCATAATTTTCAAAAAAACAACTCATGCCAAAAAAAAAAATTTGATTAATCATATGATAAATCTCAATGCCTTTCAAAATGTTTTACGTTCACTGATTGCAAACAAACATTATCAGGATAGGTATAAATTTAAAAAGATATATAACCATTACACATAACGTCGAGACTGAAGAGAAAGAGAAAGATGAAAAGATCAAACCTGGATCTTCCGGCGTTTCTTCTCGGCTGCAGCCCGTTTGGCAAGATCAGCCACCATACGAAACCGCCGGCGAGGGTTCTTCACCAGCCACACGGCTGACCTCCATTTCTTCAACGCTTCTTCTGTCGGGTTCTTGGGCTCGACATCGAAGTTCTCCTTCAGATAACTCTCCATTTTTCTTATCTTTTCGTAATGATTCCAATCAACATGAGAATTGGTGTTTTGTGAATATGGGCATAGGTTGATTTGATTTGAGAAATTTGTGTTTGTGTGTGTAATGTGTTTTGTGTGAGTTTAAACTTCTGAAGAAATCTTCAAACCGATGCGCAAAAGTCGAAGTGGTAGGCTACTAAGTTCCTAGAATTGCTTGACCGTTTCATAATTAGATTAATGAGTGGCGAAATTTACTAAAATCTGTCCCAAACTTTCTTAATATTACTATTGGTAACCCTTGACTAAGGGTATGGTTAAATAAACAGATGGGACTGAAACACCAACATATGACCCAAATCAGTATGTGAATATGTCGTTTTGAAACTTATTTTCTTTTGAAATGAATGTGTTTTTGACATTAAGTACAAACTTATTCAAATATGGTATCCATGTAATATGGTAGGGGTGAATAGTTTTGTTTAATATACTTAGTTGTGAGACTTATGTATTATATGAGTTAATTTAAAAAAAAAGTTAAATATAAAAGTCTAAATATTTGACAACTTTCAATTTTTTTAAAAAGACAAAACTGCAAGAATGGTCCCTGTGGTATGTCAAAAATTGCCACTATGGTCCAAAAAAGTTTGGACTAGCACCAGAGGTCCAAACTTTTCATTTTGTTGCGAGTTTGGTCCAATTTGCTTTGAACTTTTTTATAATGACGATTTTGACCTTAGCTTTTGCTTTTTTAGTTTTTATTTATTTATTTAAATAGTTTTATAATTAAAAGAAATTAAAAAAGAAAAATAAAATACTCTCTCATACACACACACACACTCTCTCTCTCTCTCTCATCGTCTTCTTCATCCTATCTTTTTCCTTTAACTCAAAGCACAAACACTTTTCACATATAGATACACACTGGGGATCGATACATATAATCAAACATACATACTCTCTAAAAAAAATAAAAATAAAGAATCAATCAGAAGTACAAAAATTTAGAACCACAAACTTTGTTAACCCCTTTCTTCTCTTATATCATCTGTGTGTTTGCTTTCCCTCCTTCCATCTTCCATCTGGTCAATCGCAGTTAACCCTTTTCCTATCTTAGATCGATCATATCTCTCAAGGATCCTCGTATTTCCTTTAATTAAGGTGTAGATGTGTAAATTATAGCCAGAATGTGTCGGTGGTTCCAATTCACGTCAAAAATCAGAAATCAAACAAGCACTCGTTCATGATGAAATCAGAGACATATCCATACCTGATTAAATCAATGGAGGAAATTGCTTAGCCTTCTTCTCCACCACGACACCACCAGAAACCGCAACTGGGAGCACCCGATTAAATCCCCCCCCCCCCCCCCCAAAATGGAAGCATCATTACATATGGTAATTAGGTTTCTAGTGACGACTTAGGTACACACACACATAGAGAGAGAGAGAGAGAGAGAGAGAGAGAAATACAGCACCATCGGAGTTCACCAGATCTAGGGCTATTGGAGTTCACCGGATCTAGGGTTCGTCACCGGAGCTAGGGTTTGCTAGAGTTTGTATAGGCGGTGGCGGCTTCGTCTATCTCCAACAACGATATCCAGAACCATCGGACTTCGTATCATCCTAATTGAGACGACGATGAAGTTTGTGGCCCGATCTCCGTTTGTGACGGGTACCAATATCGGAGGAGAGGGATAATCGATTTTTCAAGATCTGATCGTCTCCATAGATCTAGTAGTCGATTTTTTCTTGAAGCAGTATGTGCAAATGATGGTTGAAGGAAGAGGTTTCTTGAATAAATGGTGGCCGAAGGAAGAAGCGGCTCAAGGAGGAGGCGACGATTTGTTCGAGGCAAAAGGATGTTTCTTGAAACCCTACGTATAGAGAGAGAGAGAGGGAGGGGGAGGGGGGGTTAGGGTATTTTATTTTTGTATTATTTTTAATTGTTTTTAATTAATGTAATAAAAGAAAATTAAAAAATAAAATAATAAGGGGCAAATCCGTCATTATAAAATGTTTCAAAATTTTTGGACTAAACTGGCAACAAAATGAAAAGTTTGGACCACTGGTGCTAGTCCAAACTTTTTTGGACGAAAGTGACAATTTTCAGCTAACCACAGGGACCATTTGTGCAGTTTAGTCTTTTAAAAAATAAGAAATAATAAATTATTAAAATTGAAATGTTTCTTTATCTTTTAAATTGAAACAAATATTTAAATAAATAAACAAAAGAAGCTAATGAGCTTTAATTTGAGAATTTTGAAATTAGAATGCAAGTCCATTAATGAAATTGATATCAATTTATTGTAATTATTACATTAATATTATCTGGAATTTAATAAAATAAGAAAACCCATAAAATTACATGTGGAAAAAAATTAATTCAAAATAACCACAAAATAACATTTGGCAAATTGAATGAGAGTGTGACATGTGACAAATTTTTTTTTTCATTTATTAGAGTAGATTAACGAAATATATATTTTTTTATTATTTTTATTATTTTTTTTATTTTATGGAAAATGACAAAGAACATGCAATTCATCAAAACAATATCATTTTCTGTCCATGATTAGTTTTCTTTCCAAGGCCCGCAGGCATCGAATAATTTTCTATGAACGGATAGTTTTCTTTCCATGATTAGCTTCATTTTAGTAGGCAATGTTGACCTTGGTCAGTAAAGCATAGATACACGATATGGACATTATTGATATATTGAAACACATGTGCGACTATGAATTGTCAGAAAAGAAAACTACTTGGTAATGAGATCAAGCATAGATCGCCATATATGGCCACTGCATTTTATAGTTCAAAACATTTTTTCTCTTATTCATAGGAACTCACTTCCGTTACAACTTACAATATATGGCTCACATCATGACATCACAAAGTCGCCATCAATTCTAGATTTTGTTTACATTTTGGTTGTTCAAAAATGTAATGAAATTAATTGCAATTCTACGTTTTGTTTACTATTTAACTTAAACCACTATGACACCATTTCCTATCTCTCTCTTTGGAACTTTGCTTAAGGCAAAGGGATTTTGTTCTACTCGAAGGAAGTAGGAAAATTTAAAGGCCTTTATAAGGATTTGTCTCTACATCATATTAAATGAATCAAGTGAGACAAAAATATGGGGTTGGGCTTACAATTTAGTTAAATACTAAGCTTGTCATTAAATATAATTAATAATAAAAAATAAGGACTTGGGACTTGGAGCTATATAGATTATTATTTGACAAAAGGCCTTAGTAGAGAACAAGTTCTCTTTACATCGAGCGAAATAGACTTAAAGCCAACACAATGAATCACCACCTAGCCAAAATTGAGGAAAGCTCAAAATAGTACTAACACAAATGTATGCTCACTCATATGATACTTATTCTTAATAATGTTGATAAATTTTATAGTGGAATAGTACAGATTGTTCCAGATTAGCATTACCTATGTGAGATGGATGTAAGGTCGCATCTTTCAGAACTAATATGGCTAAGTTCTCTAAAAGTATCATGAAGAAAAGATTGTTCACGACTGAAATGAACATAACAGTAAGAAATGACCTATATCCAGATATGATGTGTGTGCACATCTTGTCTAGTTTACTATACAACATGGTTAGTTCAATAGTTTAGTTCACTAAACACAAAGTAGATCTAGTTAGTACTTACTATGAAAGGTTCAAGTTCTCAACACATATTCAGAAACATGTCATATCTTGCCTTCCTGATTTCAATATCAAAGTCCTCTTATTTTCATTTAGGGATGCACTTATATATTGATCTTATATGAGGTATTCTTTAATAGTTCGTCATGGGATTACAACAAATTGTCCCTTGTGTAGTGGTGTTGATTATGATGGCATGTGCGGAATTAAGAATGATTTAGCGAATCATTAAGTAAAATCAAGAACATGAACACAAGATCTAAATAATTCTTTTAAGCTCTCATTAGTTTCATAGAAAGAGTACAAAATAGGTTTTGCAAATTCTCTCTCTAAACTAATCTCTCAAAATGTTCATTAGATAAAATGAGTGTCACTCACTTCCTTATAAAGGAAAGACAACTCATTATGCACAATCAAAGGAGTAAGCCCTCATAACATCCAAGAGTGACTTTGCACCCTTACATTCTCCCCCTCAAAGTTAGAATTGGATGCCCGACTTCAATCTCCAACGAGCACGCGCGATCAAGACCAAACTCCCCCTCGAAGGAAAACCGGTCTTCAAATCCGCAAATGAAAGATCTGCTTCGAATATCCATCATTCTCCCCCTTTATATAATCAAAAAATGATTATAAAACCCATTAAGGGTGAGAAGCGCTCGAGGAATGAACTTTACAAAACTCCCCCTTGATGTGTGCCAAAAATGAAACACCAAAAATCTTGCACAGAAAAACAATCACGAAAAAGCCACAAAAAATTTCAAATTTATGAAAATTTTTGACTTTTTGGGTGAAAGTTGCAAGATTTTTCAAAAACCGGGTAAAAACCGTCAATAACATAATTCTGCAGGAACCCGTTGCGCCAAAAACAGCCAAAAATGCGAAACTCTCCCCCTTTTTCAAAGCTGGGTAGAAAGCGTCAATTCGCATAAACTGTAGGGACTGAACATGAAACTTCAGCATTCTTCACAATTTTTGCTCAATATTCGAAACTGGACTATTTCTGCCACTTCTTAGAAATGTCAGGGACCCAAATCGTAAATAGTTTCGAAGCTACATCATCAACAGCGACTCACTAATCCCAAATCAACAATCATAATGCTTCATCTATTCGTTATCAAGCCATCTGCTAACCAACATCGATTTCTTGACTCCATTCATTCACTTGATAAAGCAAAATTGAACATCAAAGTTAATATCAACATCTCAAACATTGCATTTTTTTGCTTTGACTTTTTCCTTTGACTCTTAATTTAACATCAAGAACAATGTCGATTTCCATTAACAAATCCAGCCTCCATGCTTTTGCTTTTCAAAAATCAAACATTCCCTTTTGTTCCAGTCGACCTTCGAAATCAGACTACTTCAAACCAATGATTTTCGATCAAAATCAACTTCACAAAGCTGATTTTAGTTGCAATCGACTCCAAAACAACTTCTAAACTGATAACGAAACTCGTTTGACCTCCAATTCATTTT